ACTCTGGAGCACATCTAAGGCGTCTTTACAAATTAGATCTGTGAGATGAAATAGAAATCAGTGAGAGTTAAAATGCCTAACACTAGGTGCATCTACATGTGCAATTAATGTGATACAATAAGCTTTGGAGCAGTTTGAGCTGGAGTCAGCTGCTCCTGGGTGCAGTGTCTACACATACTCCCGGGGCAACAGCAATTGGCTGGGCTGACCAGGCGCAATGTACACCCATGGTCATCATCTACATGTGCGTTTTGGCACAGTAAAGTATTCTGCCATAAGATAGTACTGTCCCTGACAGTGCTATCCTACACTGAAGTTAATTAGTTTACTGCTCCCTAATACTGGCGCACATGTAGACTGTGACACTTTACTGTGGAACTAATTGGTCTACTCCTCAGTAAAGTGTACGTGTAGATGTACCCACTATGTAGGAAAGAGCCTTACTTGCTTACCACATGTAAACTCATTCCAACTTTAGTCAAGCTTTCAGGCACAAAATGCCCTTGGTTTGAAGAAGAGCATTTTGTGCTTGAAAGATAGTCTAATGTCTCTCCCAACTATGTAGTTGGTTCATTAAAAATATTCCTAAACAAATACATTCTGCTGCTCACAGTTTTAGTAGAATGCTTCATTGTTATAAAAGATACTTCATAACTTAAATTTGGAGTAGAAATATGTCTGGGGGAGAAAGAAAATGCAAGTAACAGTAATGTATATAAAATTATATGCATGTTTTCTTAAACTATTTATGGATGGAAAACTTGTGCATGTCCAACTTTGGAGGAGAATTGAATTTTCTACTTAAGTTATATGCTTGTTGAAGTGAATCTTCTTATATTTAGGAGTGTAAGTTCTACTTTTCATAAGGCACACAAGCACCTAGATCTTATTGGATTTGTGTGCTTTTCAGAGTTTTATTCTTATTTTACTTTTTGATGCATTTTTATTTTTCAGACTGGAGAAAAACTATTTGAGCTACATGGACACACACACAAAATTACAGCTGTTACAGCCTTTCCTTCACCTAGTGCTTGTGAAGATGAAAAATATTTGATCTTAACAGCATCTGCTGATAGGACAGTTATTGTATCCTTCAACCTGAAGAATATTTTACTGATTTTAAAGGGAGTGGTGAGCCAGGCAAAGCCAGCTGGTGATTGTTATGGTACCATTCAAAGGCCATAATCAGAATTGGGGCCCCGTTGTGTTATCTACTGTCCATGATTAGCTATGGCCTCTGCTACAAAAGTAATAAATTATTAATAATAACAAATACTAATGTGAAATTTTAGAGTGCCCAAACATTGAAAATTGGGCCAGTAATTTAGAAAACTTACATGTGCCTCTGGATATTTATTTCTATAAACAGAGCAAAGACATTTTAAATATAGTAATCTTTTTTTTTCCTTAATAAATGAATTCAGGTTTGGGATTGTAATAGTGGCAGGCAAGTTCAGAAAGTAACTTCCTTCCATTCTACTGTGAAGGTAAAGAAGAAACTCCAGTTGTGTTCTAAGCTTATGTATGTGTAATACACATGTAGTAAAAGCTGATGAGACATGTGAAGACCAAATGCATTAAAATGAACAGCAGTCTACACTTTAGTTAGCTGAGAATGCTTCATTCACAGGTAGAGGAGGGACCGACAACTAGGCACTGAGAACAAAAAGGCATCTTTACACATGCAGGGTGGGGGCGGGCAACAACTACTAGAAGATAATCAAGGAATTGTGTCTACAGGACACTTGTTGATTAGTTAGGCCTCCTGACTAATGAGTTTGGGTAATGAGTCATAACCTACAGCTTCTGACCTGGAATAGTTTTTGACCTGTGGAAAGCTAGCTCTCCTTATCTGGTGGCAATGCCTTGGAAGACCACAGTTTCCAGGCAGAGATGCTCTCACTTCTCCGTGCCTGACTTAATTGAGGCTTGGGCTTGGCAATTTAGCTGATTGTGAGATTACACATGCACTGTTTTTTGGAAACAAGGAGGGGTGAGGCCAAAAATGACAAGCCTAGCAGATATACCCAGCTGTGCAGAGTGGCAGACAACATTAGTAGTTATCATCTAATTTGAGTCTAGTATGCAACACTCCAATCTATCTCCTTAAAAAAAGTAAACTCATATAAGCTTAATAGAAAAAACATGCTGTGATGAACTATTGTAAAACTAATGAAGGTGCTGAAAGTCCTGGGATATAAAGTGCATTCATAGTCATGAACAAATAGCTACTGATCCTTTGTAAACATCTGTCTGTCAGGAACTTAACATTTCAGGGAGAGACCATGAAAGAGAAGAAAAATTGCAAAAGCTGATGTCATAAGGAAACAATACTAGGACAACCTTAAGGGTAAATTGGTTCTGGGGGCACAGTACTCCAACTAATTAGCCCTGCTAGAATTCATAGTTAATTAATTGACTCAACACCTAGTGAACACAGTTATAAGAACATAAGAAGTGCAGTGTGTGGTCAGACCAATGGTCCATCTACTAGCTCTCTGACAGTGGCAGGAGAACATATGGTATATCTAGAGCAGGGGTCGGCATCCCTTGGCACATGTGCCAGAGCATGGCATGCAAGGCCATTTTGCTCAGCGCACCACAGCCAGCCTGAGCTTTGGGCAGTTGCTGCCAGCTACAGAACCCAGGCTGCTTGCATGGTTCCAGGCGAATGGCTGGAAAGGGGCCTGGGGCAGTGCAACCCTGGCCCCTACCCTGCTGTGCTCTGTGAGATGCATGTTCAGTTGCTGCTGCCCCAGAGCTCTGGACCCTAGTGCAGCTGTTTGCGTTCTCCCACCTGCCTGCCATAGCCGGCTTGGGCTCTGGGCAGCTGCAGCAGGTGGTGGGCAGGCTGCAAACAGCTGTACCATGTGCAGAGAACCGGCACTGGCTCTGCACACACCTCAGGGCGAATGGTGTGGAAGGGGCTGGGGCAGTGCAACACCAGCCCCTCCCCTGCTGTCCACCTGGAGGTGCCTGCATCCTCTGTCAGCAATGAGGATCTGGCCCCTTGTGGCTCTCCTGCCTTCTGCCTCTGGCATGCCAAGTTGAAGCGTAGATCAAGGCTGGGGTGTTTTTGGCACCCTGGCCAAAAATGTTGCTGACCTCTGATCTGGAATGATCTCCCTGTTAAACCCTCCCTGGCAACCACTGTCATTGGTTTAGAGATGCTAGAGGGTACATACCTGACCATTCTGTTTAATAACTACTGGATCTATCATCCATGACTTTGTCTAGTCGTTTTTTGGACTGCTGGTTCTGCTTCTGACTTCTGCTTCTGGTTTAGGAGGTAACCTGATTGGAGTAGTATGGAGTGTTTGAAGGTGTTGGCTGGCATAGTACATTTACAGGCTAGATATACCTATTAAAATTAATAGGAATATTTTGTCATTAACTTCAGTGGGGCCAGAATTTCATCCTTTCTGCATGGTTTTCAGTGTCTTCAGTAGGCTCTTCAGCTATTGAACATCTCTGAAAAATTAAGACTTGCAGTGGTGTTAGTAAAATAATGATGTTTCATATATAAATTCTGTATTTTGCAAGAAATTGATATTTCAACACTCATGTTTCAGAGTACCTGCCACTATACCTATTTAAAGATGATGAAAATTTCATTAAAAATTCCCCAATGAACTTTTGCAAAGGACATATATCTGATTTTGTTCTGCAGTGTTTGACGGTTCTTCAAAGACTGGATGTATGGTTGTCTGGAGGGAGTGATCTATGTGTTTGGAACAGAAAATTAGATCTCTTGTGTAAGACTAGTCATCTTACTGAAGCAGGTAAAAATCTAAATGACTCATTATGGCAGATAAAGTATAAGGAAAATGGATTTGTATAATGATGCAAAACCAACTCTCTTTAATTCTTATGATAACATTAAATATTAAAGTTACCCTCTATCTATATTTTAAAATGTTAACTTAATCATTTTAGAATTAAGGAAACCTACAATCTCCTGTGCTGTGTGAATTGTAAAATGTCAGATTTCAATAACTATACATTAACTTTGACTACATCCTCAGCTGGTGATTTATCCATGGTCCCATTAGACTGAGGATCTGGCCCTCTATAGTATTTTATGTCTCTAGGAGGAACTAGGTTTTTCATAAGCACGGAGCACCAAAGACTTTTTATCACAATGTATCATAAGATTCAATTTGTACAAACAAAACACATTTTTAAATAGAAATACAGTAAATATGAACTTTCATGCTGTTCTGAGCTATTAATAAACCCATGCTTTGAGTACCATCTGATTACACAAGGAACATGCTGTATGTTATTTATAAGTTTGCAGAGGCAGCTAGGAAGCTGTAGGAAAATTTGCTGGATTGGTTAGTACATATTGTCATAATACAGAAAACTCAAAGATCTTAACTCTTCATACAAAGGAAAATTACATACATTCACAATTTCACCTCTTGTATTAAAAACGTAATATTGATAATCTTGCTGGATTCTGGAGCATATCTCTTGACTACCTCAGTATGAGGTAAGTCACTCGGGTTAAACCCTGTTTTACTTTCATTTCTTACAATATGTATTTTTTTCCCTGCATTTAATTTATACTTGGAAGGGAGATGATATAGAACATTGTAGATATTAAAGAAGAGGATTACAAAGCATTTTCAGGCTGTTTCTTCCGTAGCATGCTTGGGGTCTTTGTCATTCAAACCTTCAGTATGTAGGTTGCTATTTATAGGGCATGTCTACATGTGATATTAGTGCACTTAGCACCAGCGTTTATTGCTTCCTGGGCACGGTGTTTACACTTGTGCTTGGGACTGCAGCACATTGAGCTGGGACAGAGCAGCCCTGGTTGTCAGGGATCTCTGGGAGTCAGCCTGCCAGTCCGGGGCTGCTCCAATCCAGCTCAGAGTGCCATGGAGGAACATGAGGATGTCCCAGTGCAGGGCTAGCCAGCAGGCAGCCCCTGCACTGAAGCACCCTCATGCCCCAGTCAACTGTGTCAGCGTCTACATGTGCATTGCGGCACACTAAATAATGCCACCATAGGATAGTACTTGTGTTGACAAGTATTGTCCTACAGCACTGTTCATTAGTTCACTATGGTCTAATAGGGCCGCATGTGTAGACACTGGGCGCATCTACACATGTGGCCAGCTGCACAGTTATTACTGCGCAGTCATTTAGCACTTACTTCAGCAAGTTCTAAATGACTGTGCAGTAACCGCCATTATTGCGGAGTCTTGGCAGTGCACAGGTTATTTCCAACCCTACTGCGCAGTAGCATTGGCGTCACGGTTTGTGCTTGCTGATGCTACGTTGCCATAGCATGTCACTGCGGTGATGTAGCATCTCATTTAGACATACCCACTGAGACTTTTACTGTGGAGCTAATTACTCGGCTCCACAGCAAACGTCTCATAGATATGCCCATAAAATACAAATACTTAAAAGTTCCCATGGGGCTTTGTGACTTAGTGTCCTAACTGCTATACAGATGGATGTGAAAACATGGCACCTACTCCAAAACCCTTAAAGTGAAATCCTGGCTGTACTGAGTCAAGAATTTAACTCTCACAAGCCCAAAGGAAAATATATATGCAGTACCATGTAACTTTTTCATAAGCACACTTTACCTGTACCCCATTGCTCTTTTTCATAAGTGGCACAAAGGAAGTGCTCTGTAAGGAGAGGTGTGAAGTGGAAGGGGATGGTGTGCTTTGGATCAGTTAGTGATGGACATTTATGCATGCAGGGCAGCATGGAGGAAAATATAGACAGTGGGACAGGGTAAGCAGGTGGCCCACACTGGCATAACTGATAAAGTACAGGGGAGGCTCTAGATGCTAAGGACAAGAGGTATGATTTAGATGCAGTGGAACAGTGAAGGAGTCTCTCAGAGGCAGAGTAGTATGGTTGGATGGGCAAGAAAGCTGATTGTAGCAGTTTTGTTCTTAATGAATAAGAGGGAGTGGTTGGGAAGTCAGAAGGGAGAAGGCAGAAGCCTGGAAATAAGGGCTTGTAGGAGGGTTTTGAATAAAAAAGAAAGATCTGAATTTTTCAAAATATGCAGGTAAAAAGGATAGTTTTGGGGCATGGCCTTATGCGTGGGGATCAAGGGAAAGTGAAGATGAGATCATGACTCTGGGCATGTGTTATAGGAAAGATGGTGATGTTACTGATAGTGATAGAAAAAGCAGAGTGGTAGCAGCTTTGGGAGGAAGGATCATTTTAGTCATGTTAAGTTCAAGAGAGCACGTCAAGGGAACAGGCCAAGATGGGATGTTGATAAAGGGAATCAGAGGCAGGTGAGAAGTGAAAAGGCAAGTTTGGGAGCTGTAAACACAAGGGTGATAGCTGAAGCTATTTAAAGGCATGAGAGCCCTTAAGGACAGTGTAATGAGGGAGAAGAGGAGCAGGGTTTGACACATTTTGAAAGCTAGTCAGGAGCAGGGGTCGGCAATGTTGTCCAGCAGGGGTCCTGAATTACCTAGCTTGGGTGGGAGGTGGCCGGGCTTTAGGACTTGCTGCCACCACTTTTTTCCTGCCAGTCATCTATGGCATGGGGTGGTGAAAGCCTCCCTCTGCTGGAGCCTGTGCTGCCTCATTGCAGTGTAGCATGGCAGAGTTCCCTCTGCTGGAGGCCCAGGCTGCTGACTGTGGCATGACTCAGGGAGAGGTCCCATCTGCTGAGTGCTGTCAAAGCCATAGCTCCACAAGCTGATCCAAAGGCTCTGTGGGTTGTGGGATGCCAAACCCTAGTCTAGAGCATTATCTATACTTGCAGTATAGATACACTGCAGCAAATGAATCATGTAAAAGACTGCAACTATGATCACCTATTTAAACATTGCCTTACTGGCTCTGCATAGGGAGATGTTTTAATTTTCATGTAAGAAACATCACCTATCCTGAAGCCTGATTTGGATGTTTAAAACAGTGTGGAGTTAGGTTCAGTTATCAAATAGTTAATGTATGGGACTGGGAATTAGGTACTCTTGTAATTTCAGGTTTGATGCTGATTCCTTTGGTGGCCCCTGGTAAATCTGTTCACCCCCTATTCCTTTTCTCCACCTGTGAAAGTTAAATAATACTAGTTGCTTCATCAGGTTGTTTTGAGGGTAGATCAGAGTAGAACCATGCCAATCTCCTTTTTATTGAACGACATACACAGCCATATGTAAAATGTTAAATATATTCTTTTCTTGATCTTTTTCTCTTCCATGTAAATTTGATCTTACTGCTTTTAAATTCTAATAGGCAAATGTAATCTGAAGGTATATACAAATGCACACTGCCATGGAATAGAGGAAAAGAAGGTTAGCTGTAAAATTTAGCTTTTAGGTTCTTTTTGCAACCTGTAAAAATCAGTCCTGTTGTACTTTGTACATAACACACCCATCTCAACAGAGAAAGAAAAGAATGTTGAAAGAATGGCAGCTAAAAAAACAAATTACTAAGTCAAGTTGGTAGTGGAAGTGTAGTATAGTGCTGCAAACCATGCTAGCAGTTCTGAATTGGGCTAAAGTAAACTGCCTTATGATAGTGCTGCATAGTAAGCAATCACAAACAACCACCATTCTTTGTTTATAGGACTGCATCTCCTTTCCTGAATAAGGGCCTGATCCTAAGGTATCAGATGCCCTCTACTCCCATGTTCAAAATCAGTTGCTATCATACTTTGCACAAAACTGTAAGCACCCAGGCAATCCTGCAACTGAAGCAAAGAGGCTTTTGTCTCTGTTATAGGAGTTTCATATCACATTCCCTAATTTTTTCACAGCTCACATTGATTTCACTGGAACTTGGGTATATGATATCTCTGTACATTAGGCCAGGGGGTTTCAATCTTTTTGGATCATTGTACCCCCGGTGGACAGATGCAGAGCGGGGTGGTGGGGAGGTGGCGCATGGCTGGATGCAGAGTGGCAGCAGCCACTGCATGTGATCTCTCTTTCCCCCCCACACCGCGTCCAGCCAGGCGGGTGGCACCTACATAGCAGCACGGGATGCTGCATGGTGGCACTCCATTCCCACCTGCCTGTACATACCCCCTAGGGCCCTCTCAAGTGCCCCCAGGGGTAAGCATACCCTTGGTTGACAATCCTTGCTTTAGGCAATAATCATGTAATATAGTTTGAATGATATAATGTAATAGAATATACCTGCTTTTTACGTCTAAGTTTAAAAAATATTTGGAAAAACATATTGGGTTGGAAAGCCACCATATGTCAATTGGCATAGTGCCATCAAAGTCAAGGAAGCCTTTCCGGTGTATATCTGTTGAGGATCTGGTCCACTGTATTTATTAAATATGCATGCAATTGGTAAAGTAACCCTTTTACTGTTTTACAGTATGCAGGTGTATGTATGCCAGTACAGATACTATAGATTTTACTGTAATATATATATATATATATATATATATATAGAGAGAGAGAGAGAGAGAGAGAGAGAGAGAGTGTGTGTGTGTGTGTGTGTGTGGCTGGTATGTATGTGATTTTTGGTTGGCCTCTCATATGTGGAAAATATCAAACATGGAACTGATCTTTTTTAAAGAAAAGCCCACATCTTTTATAATGATGAGAAGAGAGCCTGTTTAACTGGTATATTTTTGGGTGGAAAATAACTTTCTCCTTTATTTACTGATGTTTTCAAAGGTGTCAGTGCTTTGGTTGAGTTGCCTAAAACCTGCATTGCAGCGGCTGTTGGCAAGGAATTGAGTAAGCATATTGCATTTCAAATTAATCTCCATGTCTCTTTATATAGTCAAGAATTTCTGATATGCAGCTGATAGAGATGCATGACTGATCAATTTTGTTGTAATGGTGTAGGAAAATTAAATGGTACCTGGCTCTAATTTAGCAGCCTCCTTTCCTTATTTCCTCATCTATAAAATAGGGATAATGATGATGATCTAAGAACTGGGAAGTGTTTTAATTATTTTGCCTGGTTTGCAGAGACCAAATTCCCCTTAATCCTCCTTTGGAACTTACCGTTTGAGCTTCCACTTTGTTTTCATATTTTTCTCCACCAACCTGAGTTTTTTTCCTTGTTAAGCAACTCTATAGTCTGGTTATTTCAAGGCCTTGCATGCTGGGGGATTATATCCAGAGGATATAATTAGATGTTGTGAGAATCCACTGGTGTTTATTTGAAGAGAGAGCTCTCTCTAGCTGGACAGATCTGCAAGCTGGCTGCTAGTTATCTAAGGAGAGTCTTTAAAAATAATATCAAGTTACGTAGTATCTTTCCTTAGACCAACACGGCTACAACCTAAACCCCTGTAGTATCTTTCAGTTGTTCAGAGGTCAGAATAGGAGAACTCCAGTTAACTGGAGACCAGATGCATTGTTGAGGTGTTGGGCATGTAGGTAAAGAATAGCAATCTGTGATATTTTAAGAAAAAGGAAGTAGGGACAAATTAAAACGAACCTTATGTCTAGAAATGGGCATACAATGTAAAACTTGCACCTAAACTTCTCAAAGTTTATTTATAATCTTCTTGATAAGGCACAAAAGGAATTCAGAGACAAATTAAAATAAGGTCTTAAGTCCTTTGCTGTTTCAGACACCTGGAAAACTCAGAACATTGAGTCTGAGAAATGATCTTTGTAAATATTCAGAGAGATGTTGAAGTCATTCCAGGTCAATTACAGCAATTTAAAAGGTATGTGCAGCTCTCATTCCTAAGCAATTGCACTATTACTTATGCACTTTAAAAAATCTGTTTTTAGATTTTTTTCAAATTTTAGTTTTTTGTTTACAAATTGACACATTTTGGGGGGGTGAAGAAACGCATAAGAGACAGACCAGCACAGATTAGCAAATACTGCATTGTGTCCTTCACACAGTAATTAGTTTATATCAAAGTGAAATTATATGCATTATTTAAACACGTTTGCTTTGCTCTACATGAGTGATAAAGCTGATTTAAAAATTCTACTCTCTCTATCTCTTAAGCCATTTTTAGGTTGATTGCTTCCACCAATGAATCAGAAAGTTGGGATGTTATTGAAGTGAAACGCCTGGTTGACCATCAGGATAACATCCTGTCATTGATTAATGTCAATGGTAAGATTGATGATGTAGCATTGTTAGTTATCAATGGAATATTTTCAGCTATGAAATTTATTTTGTTTGTGACCAAATACCTACCTTTATAACTGCTTGAGAGACAAAGATATGTAGTTGCAAAGGTAACCAAATGTAAAACTACATGATGAAACTTATGAAAACCTTTATATAATCAAAGGACTTCACAAACCCTAACTAGTGATCATAACTTTTCTGCAAAGTAAGTATTGTTATCAATATAGTTCTTGTCTTCTCTATGTACAACCAGGGAAACTAAACCAGGCAGCTTATGAGTTGTTTGGGGCACAACAGAATCAATGTCAGTGACAGAAACTGAACTCTAAGCCTTGGTCTTGAAGTGAGATTTTAAATCTACTGCTCTGTCATTTCTTCCTATGTGCTTGACTGAAGTTGTTGCCTGTTACAATTGTTTAGTTTATTTGAGTGCAGTATCTCATTGTAGACAGGGTTGCAGAAAGAAACTGCACACTTTGAAGGACATTTCAGGAAGCATTTTACAGTTTACAGCATACTGCAATGTGTGCTGTAATGTTAGTGTTGATTTATATTTGCTAGATATGATTTTGCCTTCGTACTGAATCTGGAAAAAAAGGAGCAACTCTGGAGTCTGAACCAGAGTCATCTCTGCACAGAGACCAAGAATACGCTGTTTGGCTCAAATGCGCAGCGTTGTGAGTTGTATGGGGCTAGCTCCACAAAGGGTTTTACTGTATTTTGTTTCACCTCCCTCTTAATTGGCTGGGCTCAGTGACATTCATAGGCTGAAATTAGGAGCTGAAGCTCCTGATACGTTTTATGGGGAAAGTTACACATTTAGGAAAGAAGGTCACAGAAGCCAGCAAACTGAGTGGCAAGCTGCCATAAGTCAAACTGTGGGACATGCTAAGGAAAAGGAAAGGCCTTAGAACCATCCCTCAAGGTAACAAGGCACCTAGCTGTGGCCTGGAGCTGAGGAAGGGGAGGGACCAGGACAGCAGTTGTGATTCTAAAGAAGCAAACTGTGGCATTTTTGTTCCCACAGTTTTCCATTGGTTCAGAGGAGATGAACAATGCTAGCTATAACAAGGCAATATAATAATCACTCTGAAGTGCCATTGGTAGAAATGTCTTTTCCATGTGATCTCAAAATCATAGCAGATGATTCAATCCCACCCTTTAACATTGCAGTTTGTTACAGTATTTACATCAAGAAATTGGGGAAGCAGAAAAATAACTTGCCTTAGAGCTGGTGATCTGAATAAACACCAGAAATTAAGTGTCTTTTCATGCAGATCAAAGGCGAAGTTCTGAATATTTCCATGTGCTTCAGTCAGTGGTGCAGTATACATTGTCATTATGTACACCACAACAATTGAAATGCTTTCTTTCTTAATTCTGATTATGTAAAACCTAGCTAATTATTTAATGTTTAGATAGCTATAAAAATATAATTAGTATCTTTGAAAGAAGTGATGAGTTTACTTAGCCAAACAGATACCATGCATTCTTATTAGTTTAACTTGAAACTAGTTTCTATTTAGCAATTTTCTTAGTTTTTTAGGGCCATATCTTAGTTTGAAATTGATTATTTATGGAGGTGCACCAATACATCAGTCCGATATCAGATGGGTAATGATATAAAGAAAATTGTCTGTATTGGAAATCGGCCTTATGTGGCCGATAATGCGGCCAATAAATGCCCCGTTCATGCGCACAGCCACAGTGCAGCACGTGGGTGGTGAGGAGCACAGCCCGGCAGCTTGGAGAACTGAGTCCAGCTAGTAAGTCTGTTGTGGGGGAAGGGAAGGGGTGTGGGGGGGGTGGCACAGATCAAAGCCCCTGAAGTGAGGGAGGGAGGGAGTGGGGCTGAGGCAGTGGCTGGAGCAGGTGCTGCCCAGCTGGGGTGGGGCAAGGTGTGGGATGGAGACACAGCTCATCTGGGGGGCATGACGGAGGGGCGGCTCTGCACTCACCCCGGAAGGGCATGGGGAGCATGTGCCCCAGATCTGTGTGGGGCGGGGCAGGATGGCTGCGACTGGGCTTGGGCCAGGGCTGTGCCAGGCTCTTCTTGGTGGGGGCAGTACTGGGAGGGGGGTTTGGGGAGGGGCTACAGCAAATTTTGGGGTGGCTGCAGCACCCCGCCCCATCACCCCACTCCCAGCACTGCCGCTGCCCGTCCCAAGTGCAGTCCTGCCCAGCTCCCACCAGGAAGAGCCCAGGGCCACCCCACCTTGCAGCTGCAGCCCTCCTCGCACATCATCTGGAAGGTACATGCCTCCCCCCCAACCTCCCCGTGCCTTCCCAGGGTGCGTGCAGTGGTGGGAACCACTCCCCTGCCCCCTGGATGAGCCATGGCTTTGTCCCGTGCCCTGCCTTGCCCCTGGGGTTGGGCAGCACCTGCCCCAGCCCTACTCCCTCCCTCACCACAGGGGCCACGATCTGCTCCCCCATGCTCTTTCGCTTCCCCCTCCCCTTCTACCACAACAGACTCACCAGCTGCACACAGGTCTCCAAGCTGCTGGGCTGTGTATCAGAAATCGGATCAGTATTGGCGATTTGCCTCCTTAAAAATTGGCTATTAGTATCGCCTCCTTAGAAATCTCAGTGCACCCCTAATTATTTATAATATGTGGTTTTATGTTGGACTTTTTTTGTCTAGATTTGACTTTTGTTACTGGTTCTCATGTGGGTGAGCTGATAGTTTGGGATGCATTGGATTGGACAAAGCAGGCATCTGAATGTGGCTTCTGGGATTCCTCTCTTCACACAGACACGCAGCAGGAAATCAAGTTAACGCAAAACCAAAAAGAAATATCAATTCAATGTCTAGCATCTGATGAGGAGGTAAGAAACCAGGTTGTCTTACAGTAGAAATAAGAGTGCTGTAAGTTTTTGTTTTCAGTTTAATTACTCTAGTAAGAAATACATGATGTTTGTTTAAAATTTACTCAGATGTCTTAATACCAGTCAATAGCATTTATTTAATGTTTTGCTCAGTGGGCTAGCTCAAGGTTACAACAGCATAAAATCCTGTCTGAGCAGTTCAATACAGAGAGTCAATAGATAACCTCAGACCTAGCATAATGAACAATTACAGTTTGTGTGTTAAATCGACAAAGGCGGATTGAATGCACATTTAAAATTTGTTCTAAAACAATGGAATTGCCTGTTTTTATGGAATATGTTTCCTATTTCCACAAATCCGCTTCTCTCAAAATTTGCCCCTCAGATGTTTCTCGCTGCAGGTGCTTTAAAATTAACAAACTGAACTAAAAAAGGGCGTATTTACAAAATATTGCTGCTTTGTTCAGAGAGACTTGGCCAATATAGTTAATTTGTAACACTCACAAAGATGGGTCCAAAACTACAAGAGTTCATTATACTGTTTCAGTAACAGTCTGTGAGTGCTTGTTCTTTCAAAGAAACTTAGCTTACAAACAATAAGTGTCCTCAAATTGATGTTGTTCATTGTTATGAAATTGTAATGAAGTTATCAAGTTTTAAGTGAAAGGAAAGAAAAAACCACAAAGAATCAAAATAAGCTGCCAGACAGCTGAAAGGGAGATTGCTTAAAGGAATAACAATTATCCCAAACCCTTATTGGCTCTTCCCCACCTTACCTTTATCTCCCCATCCTCATTCTTCCTTCCCCCCCTTACTTCCTTTCAGGATGGATTGATTTAAATTAAGTTGATTTAAATCAGTGAAATAAATCACAATTTAAATCAGCAAGCCATAACCCTGAGTTAAATTATTCATTGTTATCAACTTTGCCATTGTATTTTTGTGTGTTTGTTTTTTTAAAGGCGTATTTTCATTGGTTGATATAACAAAACATGTTCATTTGCAACTAACAGTAGACCTGGTACATGTGTTCCCTGGGTACACATACTATATAAGTGTGTGTGTGTGTTTGTGTGTGCGCTGCATGCATGCTTATGTATATGTGTATATATATATATATATATTTCCCCTCTCCCCCCCCCTAAATATATAGCTTACCTAATTTGGATTGTTAGAAATCATATATTTTAGCATGCTATAAAATGGTAAAATATATATTTCTTATTCACTAGATGATTAATGTTTTGCTCAGATTTATATCAAGCTGTATTAAGATTCTGTATTGAATTTAACTGAACACATAAATCCAGCACTTCAAGTTTATTTAAAAAAAACTTTACCAGCTGGATGCTGGTCTCCCAGCTACCAGGCTGCATTCCTGGCTGTGTGCATGCTGCAGCTGCATGCATGCACGTGGCATTTATTGGTGACATTATTGGCTACACCAACCCAAAAAGATTGCCAATAACATCAATTTTTCTTTTACTGGTGCCGATCCGATATGGACTGATATATTGGTGCACCTCTACTATTAACTGTTATAGTATTAGAAGTATGAACTATGGTTATTGAATTAAACCAATTATTTTAGGTCACCTTGGGGAAATTTTTCTAAAATGCCTAATTGAAAGTGATTTGAGTTTTAAGGTCTTACGTGCCTAATTCTCTTTAAAAGGAAACAGTCATTTTTTAAAATTAGGCTGTTTACAGGGCACAGTGATGGTGACTTGGCCTGTGGGTTGAGTGACACCATAGCCTACCTTGTTGGGGTTCCCTGGTAAGATTCTCTCAGATAGACCGATAACCCCCAGGGAATTGGAGGGACATGTTCTCTGTCACTGCAGCCAAGGTACATTTGAAATGGGCAAAGTGGGACTGTATTATTGAAGGGGTAGGATGCTAGGTTGCCTATAGATGGGTGGCTGGGGAATGACTGAGAAAGAGGACCCCAAACAATGTATGTGCTGGTATGTTACTGACACAGGACAGCAGCTGTGAAAAGGCAGAGAGGTGAATCTGGAATGCTAGCCAGGAGACAGACGTTGATTCAAAGGAGTTGTCTGCCTTTGAAAGCAGTGTTCCCAAAATGCTTGTTTGGAGGAACAGAAAAGTTAAAAAGGTGGTTAGAAAAGGCAGGGGGAAGCTTTCAACACTGACTGAGTCCCAGAAGGAAAACACTAATCTGAGTCTGGAGAAGTCTTGGGATGTAGCCTCACAGGATGCTGAGATTTTTTTGAGGGCCACAAGATGAGGCTTAAATCCAAGGAGAAACTCCTGTACTGGGACTGTGTGTACCCTAAGGAAAGACACATTCTGAGATTATACCAGCAGTCAGTGGTTCCCCAGAAATATTGTGCCCATGACTCTTTGCAGTGCATGGGGGCAGAGGGGACAGCACCCAAACTAAGCAGAAGTAACTGCATGATTTTTTCTAGCCAGAAAACTCTAAAATGATTAAAGAATACTGCCTGACCTGCGAGGTGTGTCAAAGGGTAGGGA